ACCACGACCACGACCACGACCACGACCACGACCACGACCACGACCACCACGACGACGACGACGACGACGGCTACTACCTACGACTACCTACTACTACCTACTAACCTACTTACTACTACTTACTACCACTAACTACTACGAACTACTACCAACTACTACCTATCACTAGCTACTACTACCTACTACTATACTACTAACTACTAGGTCCACTGCCCATAACGGGCTGTGGTGCGACATGACAATTGTCATCAGCAAAATGATTTGGATGTACGTTATTAGCTCGCGGAAGATTCGTTCAGCGTCTTCAAGAATTGAACGGCATAATAATTACATTGGGGAACAACTCCCCTGCGCACTTCGAAGTAGAATTGACCTTTCAACAGCCAGTTCAAGTTGTCCCCAACTATTGAGGTTTTTGGAAGCTTTTAGGGTTATGATGGGTCATGTGATCCATTGTTTGTTTGGGGTCTATTCCATTCTATTCCCACGCAAGCTACTACTACTACTCCTACTACTACTACTTCCTACGTGCATCAGCTACACTTTCCTCATGCATCGTAGACAACGATGTCTTCCAGTTACGTAGACATGACGCGAAGATCACCCGTCTTCTAACAACAAAAGACATTAGATACCCAACGTTATAAGTTATGAGCCTACCAATTACGTTGTGAAACTGTTGCGAAATCGACGACAATGTCCAAAAAAATGCACAAAACACCACGACCCGATGTGGGCGGTGTTCCAGCTACTACTATCTATCTACTACATTCTATATATATTTATATATACTACTAATTATATACAGTAACTACTACCAACTCCTACTCCTACTCCTACTAGCACTACTACTACTACTACTACTACTACTACTACTACTACTACTACTTTTACTACTACTCCTGCAACTGCTACTACTACTTCTGCAGCAAAAGAAACAAACGTTTCAGAAAAGGGTTAAACATGTGGAAACGTTGATAAGCAATGCTCTGGATGCGAGCGTTGTGCAAATATTCAAGAAACTTTAACAAAACCAAAAGCGTCAAAATCACATCGACCATATCATGTCCACAGTTCTCCTGTGATGAAACGGCAAAGCAAGGGTGTCGAAGCAAGCAGTTCATCAGGTAGGACCTGAGCTTGCTGATGTCTGATGATATTTCTTGGTCTTGAACCCGCTTCATGTCCAGAGTATAAGAGAACACGTGACTTCAAGTGTGCAACAGGTAATACGGTATGACGTGTTGACCCCGTTTGTTCTGTTTGTTTCTGTCCCATGATTTTACCTGAGAATCTGGGATTGGAGCTTTCCCGTCCTTAAGCGGCCGCAAACCATGGCCTCAAACAATCACCACTCATCAGGAAAGAGAAGAAACCGGACTCGAGCAAACAATCGTCTCTGTCAAGCATTCGCTGGCTCTTGTTCACTCATGATTCACTCGTGTTCTCCTTTAATGGGATGAAGTGACTGTAAACCATCCTAAACCTATCCGAACAGCCACAAAATGTAAACGCCAATCGGATCTCTGCTTGGCCTCTGACAACATTCACTTGTCGTTGCTCGGACTTTAGAACGTCATTTGCCTGGAAGCTTAGTCAGAAAGTCGCATGACTTCCTTTGACGTTTGGCAGGAAAGAAACTAGAAACGTTTCATCTTGTTGGCAATATCCTGCTGGCAAAAGCCTTGGTGATACATCACCAATCAGTACTTGGTCTATCAATGAGTTCATGCCAACGTCATTGTACCAGTCATTGCCTAGTTTGCGGCATCTGCTTCAGGGTTAGCTTACTTCATCTGACACTGCTTTTTCCACGCTCGAATGCAGCCAATCTGTGCAGGCAAATTGCATTAAGAAGTCGTGCGCAACTTTGAGGCTCAATCTTGAGGCCAATGCAAGGAAACGCGTTGAGAGCCGCTTGTGTGGTAGACACAACTGCCGGAGCGGAGTCGACCGAAAAAATCAGTCTAGGGCACCATACAATATATGCCGCAAGTGTCACATTCCTGAAATCCACATCCAAGCCGTCCCATCCCATGGAGTGTGTGCAAGAGTCATATAGAATCATCCCATTTCATCAGCCAACATCAGAATGATGGTGTCCAGTTCCAAACAGTTTCTTGAAAGCAGTGGCACATATGTGCCAACGCACTTCAGCAAGGCCTGTGAACCTTGCCCAGGCAGGATCCTCAGGAAAGGCGATCGGGCTCTGAATCAGCGGAGCGACGAGGGTGACTTTTCAGGGAATTGCAAAGGATTCAGGCCGCTTTGCTTCGACAAATCCAAGTGGTCAATCTCCTTGTCCAAAATATTTTTGAAGCAACTCCTTGTTCGCAATGATCCGTCCACCCATGACTTTGTCCTTTGAAGGGATCAGCTGTGCGGCACCATTTCTTTGGTACTAAACTCAAATACACTATCTATTAAGTGGGGGCCCCATCTCGTTTAGACTACTTAAGTAGGATGTCATGTCACAGCATCTCGTTCAGACTACTTTAGTGGCAAATCACACTATCTCGTTCAGACTATTTAGTGTCATCAAGCAAAAGTATCTCGTTTATGTGAGGGCCCTATCTCGTTCACAAGCGAATACTGATGATAGACAAGCAAATAGAGCATGCCGTAGACTACTTTAGTAATTGAAGCCCAAATAAAAGTGGCTGCTCAGCTGATGACTCAGACTGCACAGTCCCCCATCTGACTATGTGATGTGGTATGGTGGGCGGTGGTGACGTGGCATGTGGTGATGCAATGTGTGGCGCGTTAGTGTGTGGAGAAGCGTTACATCATGATTTTGTGTTTTCTTAGTTGTGCTGTAATGATTGCACAGAGGTGATGTGGTATATTCTATGAGTAAACGCATCTCTACTGTTCCCATACTACTTATTGCATCTTATTTTATCCTGAATTGCAAGCATTCCTAAAATTCAACTCAACTCAACTCGATATCCCTGCGTTTCTACGATTATTTCTGTATTCAACCCGTTCAGAAAGTCTTCCCGCAAGGGCAAACCACAGATAACTAATTGTCTATCTGCCACGTGTTGTAACTGGGAACGTTCTCATCGAAACTTCCTCTTCATCTTGAAACATTCCTTTTTTGTTTGCTTGGAAACAGGGTAATGAAATAACTATGACTCGTGACGAAATCATATGAAATCCAGCAGCGCATTCCGGCCTTGGGTTGAGGAACATTTTTCCCTCGCGTACCACGAGAGACGGCGGATGAAGGCCGACTTCTTGGAGGAAGTCTCATCGGTGGATGTAGCAATGAAAGCGCCTCGTGGGGCTCATGGTCCGTTACCGCAGCGGCAGCACCGGCCGTGCTTCAACATGCTTAAACATTTAGGCAAAAAAAATCGTACATCTAAGGCTTTCAAAAGTCATGAGGCCTGTGCAAACAATTCCGGTCCCGGGGGGCGTGTATGGCACTTATATAAGTCAACTGCTTGCTACAATCTTTAGTCATCTCCGCCTGAAATTGCTCGCGTATCTCAGCTACCCGGCCATCTGGTTCGATGTCCAGTGTCTTTCCATCCTCGTGAACTTGCGAACGATCTTCGGGTGGGACCTCTGGAACATAACCCGTCAAGGCAAGGTACTCCAGTCGTGACATCTGCCCTTCATATCTCTGCATCTCAGAAAATCTCATCTCTCCAGTATTGAGATCTGTAATCGAAACCCCTGGAGCTACTCGCATCGTTGCCAAGAAAGAGGGTTGGTGAGCTATGTCAGGTTGGAACCACTCATCCTCCTTGTCAAGGCCAATGTCTATTCCTTCTAAATCAACCTCGTCGATGCGCTCGTTGGAGGATCCAGCCACTTCACTCAAACAAACAGCTGCTTCACCTCCTTGGGTGTTCCCAAAAGGAGACAAGTTTGGCAACTCATCGTGGGCGGCCGCTCCATGATTCATGCGATATTCCTCTGTGTGCGTGTCTTTTTCTCTCTCTCTCTCTCTCTCTCTCCCTCTTTCTCTCATGTTCCCTTGTCTGTTCATGTCAACGTTCTCATCAGTGTCTGCTTGATCATAATATATGTTACTGTAACTACTTCAAGTTGGACTTCGAGGGTCTGCTCATGTAGCTGGACCTTTCTGCAGCTGCCCTATATCTTCATGAGCAAAAGCGAAGGTGCTGCCAAGTCATGGTGGAAACATGAAGCGGTCCTTGGCAATAATGGCGAAAGATTACAGTATATAGTATATTATAGTTGTTTCACCAAAGGACACTGGAGTTTGATGGAATTTGGATGAGTACAGTAACATACGGTAACCCTTTGGTTTCGTGAGTGATCGTGAGTGCACCCATCCCATTCCTTCCCCAATGAACCGAATACATCAGTATCATATAGTATCATTATATCAAAACTTTGATCATCCCTCGCGTCTTCAACTTGGGAGGACATGGTTCCAACATGTTGGAGCACGCGGAAGGGTCACTCAAGAGGAACTTCGTGATTGAACATCCCATTCCTGGCAAAAGCTCACAGGCAAATTTTGTTGAGACTCCATCGAAGATTCCATCCGAACTGGTCGAATTGGGATCAGACATTTTGGTGTACTGTATTTCGATTGTTACTGTATTTGGCAATGAGCTGACCTGCCCACCTACACCACTGACCCCAGTGGAAGAATCGTAGCATCTTGGGTACATGCGTTGCGGTGGATTATATACGAGAGGCTATGGCTATGGCTACAAGCAGATATGACATGAATACTGTCTTCATGCGGATATTGATTTCTTTGGTGTTGCTTCTCTCCTTGTGCTTTGGTTAGGAAATTTTGTTGGGAGCAACGGTTCTTGAAGAAGACCATGACTTCAAACAGTTCCCTGCAGGTGCCCTTCAGAGCTGTCATCCTTTAAACAGCAAAAACAATAACTCTGTCCTTCAGGAAATCTATGAGCACATGTACACAGACGAAAGTCCACACGCTGTTGCGCCTCATCCAGGACAGATAGCCTTAGCTCTTCTGCTGGTACGAGCTGTGATTAAAATTCCACCTTGGCTTGAAGTCCAGCTTTTGTTTGGAATGCTCGAGTTTGTGAGGCTTTACTGCCGCAAGATGTTCTCACCATCCATTGAATCAAGTTTTGCACCTAGTTCCATGAGTCTTTATACGTCCAGGTTGCAGAACTGTCATCCAAAACATGCAAACATCTCCTCCATCGTTCAAGCTTTAAACTGAACTTCTGTGGTTGTGCATCATCCACCAACACTCTCCCAAGCAATCAAAACAGCCACATGGACAATACACCTTAGGAATCGCTGTCAGGGCTTGCAATCTTGTACCAGGCACTGTGGAAAGTTGAAATCACTCGTGATCCAATCATTTCCAGTTGTGACCGTGAAGGTTACTATGCAAGTTTTGGGAGTCTATGAGTTGAAGCTCTAGATATCCAGAAGGTCTCCAATGTGGCCATTGTCAACCTTCGTTGTGGATGGATTCCCAACCATGGTGCACGGATCAACCGATCCTATGCCTGCATTGGCTCAAGGCCGAGCCATTCGTCGTTCGAACGCATGACATGAGTCAGCGAGAAAAGGTGCGATGTGTGTTTGGGTTCGGGTCATGTCCCATGTTCCCTTTCATGCCTCATGTTAGGTTCCCCACATGTTCCAATCTGGTTCAGAATTCCGCATGGTAGCGGAGCACATGGTGCTCATAATTAATTCGATCCAGAACCTTTTGGGGAACCACAGCACTCACATCCGAACACGAGCTCGAGCCATGGGAGACGAATCTGTGAACGATGGAGGTGACCTAGAGATCGTTCACCTCGAGGCCGAAGACGGCTTCGTTCTTTGCCTGCAGTGGTAGAAGCTCCTCATCCTAGTACATTGCCACCAGCTGTTTCGTCTCGATTGGAAGGCCAGTTGAACAGTATGACGCAGTCACTGGTTGGTATGAATAGCCAAATTGTGACACTTGCTGGTATGGTTCAGCAACAACAAGAGGTTATGAAACAAGCGCAAACAGCGTTCCAGGCTCAGCAGGTTCAATTGGATTCTTTGCGCGCTCAAGCCACACAGCTGCCGATTACACCTCGAAAGCCTCGTGACAGTCCATTCAATTTGGACAGCAAACCAATGCCTTCGAAGCCGACGCCCAACGGAGGTTTGTCTTCGCCATTCGAAGCCGCTGCACAGACCACCTCAGGTCAGCAAGCTGCATCCATTGGTGTTGCAAAGTTGGTTTTGCCCGATGGAACTTCCATACCATGAGGCTCATCAGGCGCCGCTCCAGCTGGTACCCAGGTGCCAGGTTCGTCGTCTGGAAGCGGATCGCAGAACTTTCAGCTTGACGCACTGCAAAGGTCAGACAAGTGGCTGCCATCGATGCCAACGATCAACACGTCTTCATGGAAGACCAGGACAGATGAGATTCTGGGCTATGAGAATTTTCTGGAATCACTGACATCGTGGCTGGGCTTGGTGTC